AAAGTCTATGAGATTTACCAACCCAGAATGGCAAGACTCACTAACGATTTCAAAGAAGAGTCTTAAAATGGTCCAAATTCGCTGTCCCATACTGGAAATTTTCACGATTACTGAGGCGGACTATTGCTGACAAATAGCTGCCTTAGAGATCGCTATTCAGGTATTTAACTAAAGTTAATTTTGTATGAAGTAAGCGACTAAGGGATCTCCGCAGACGGCGACAACAACGACGATGACGAATCCTGGTTAGTTTGCGGTTTGAGTTTCTCAGGTCACTTACGATGACCCAGTCCTTGAGACATCTTCCTTCTGTTTCGGTTGTGCTAGTTGGTCCTTTTGAACCGTTCAGTATGAACAGCCCAGGAGACTAGAGCAACAAACCAAGACCTATTCGGCTCTTCATTTCACTCTTTCACACATACTTCATCGAAAACCAACTATTTCTTTTATATGCTAGGTTAAATTAAGTTGTAAAAAGGCTGTAGCCAAGCTATTTCATTTATGGTGATGAATTTGCTTCCAACGATAAGATCACACTTTATGCTCCCATTGAATTTCACTTAGCCTTCCCTCACAAAATCTATGCTAGACTCGTATCTACAATCGCCAAATAGCAGTCTTTACACAATTCGTTTCATGTGAGGTTCCCGGGCCTGTCTGTCGAAACCCTACCGATGGGCGATTTTACACCAGATTGCTTCAACAGATCGGCGAATTATGGCCAAATACACATACAATGAAAGTGGATGGACAGACAAAAGGGGCGGGAGAGAGAGGGTTGCGACAAACGGTTATTAGGAAGGCCTGGCTGGGAAGGAGTCGGTCTGTAGAGTCCATATCTGGAGTGTCTGGGGGAGTGTTTAGGGCAGGTTGGATCGCCTCACCAATCGGCCCCAGTTCCGACCAAGCAGGACGTGTATGCGGCTCATCCCTCCCGACCGTAGATCCGTATAGTCCTAGCGAGGCCTCCGTCGGTGTGAAGGGTGTGAAACAATTTCCGACTGATTGGCTAGTTCGCGTACACTGTGGCAAACCGAATTTTCCGCCGACCCGATGGAAACAGGAAGATCCACATTGTTGACATTAGGCAAGAGACCGCGTGCACACCCATGTTCTATCACCGCTTCAATCTGTCCTGTCAACCTGTATCCTTGGCTAACCAGTACGACGCGGTTGCCACCAGGGTCGAGAGAACTTGGCAACCGTATGTCACACTCAGGCACTTAAGCCAGACATCGTGAACTGGACAGCAAGCGCTGGAAAAAGTGCATAAATTGCCGTCACTCACGAATGATAAAGCATATTTTGTTTACAGTTCTGAAGTAATCTGCCGAGTTAGGTAATGAAATCAGCTGCCATTTCATCCAACCTCTTTAGCCATGAAAACTGCCCATTTATACAAACTTAAATATGAAAAAACATTTTATATATTAGTGTAAACACTTATAAATACAGCTTCATTATGATTGGCAACTCGCGCAAACTTTACGCTAAATAAATAGTAAAATTGGTTTGCTATCATTCTATATGGATAGGACTTTCCTTGCCAATTTGGATAAATGGATGAATAACTAGATTTAGGGGCAATACTGTATTTGATAAGGTGAACTACTATTCCAAATGGTACATCCTAATTGCAATGACTTACCCATGGATGCTTGAGATTTGCTGCTGGTACCGAAGAAGAAATGACCTGATCTTGAATGCTTCGAACCTTTCCGCTCGTCTGAGGCTGGCTGTTCCGATGAGACTCGCTAAGCTGTAATTTTCGTTATAATAAATCCAAGTGTTGTGAAATCCAAGTGGTGCTGCTCTGCCGATACCTAAACCCTGCCTCTAGATTATTTTACCTAGTCCAAAGCGGAATGCAGAAACTACTGAAAGCATGGTTATAAAAAAACAAAAAAAAACATACTACTCAAGAGTAGTAACATACTTATTTAACTAACTTCAGGATTTTGCTTAATGGAGGTGTGTCCGGTTTCGCTTATCAATCTAATTTGTTTTTGAGAGTAAACATGGCTCTTATATCAATTAGGTGCAAAAAGCATTCTAAACTTTCCTATCTTCAAACTACACACTTTTATTGCTCGTATCATGAACAATACATTCCAACTTTAAAAGTAAGCAGTAGCTATATTGCTTCGATTAGGCCAAATTTGTCCAGGTGATAGAGTAATGAGATCGTCTTCGGGTCGTATCCGAACAGAAAATCTAGCCTTGCCGAGTGAATACGGTATGCTGATCCTTGGGCACAAAGCGACCTATAAAAGACTTCCGCCTCTAGCCAAGCGGTTGTGAGGGAAGTAAATATTTTGGATTATGTTCGGCTTGATTTCTAAGCCACACCTGAGAAGGACGAATGGATAACTATGCAACCAGACACCTCTTTCTATTAATAGAAGTATGCTAGTCTGTCGACCTCTTTATTGAAGTGCCTCAAAGTGATATAGGCTTTCAGACATGTATTCGGACCTCCTCATATTTCCACCAGTTGACATAGGCATCGATAAGAAGTAGGATAGAATGGCGGGTGAATTGGAGCAGTGGAGAAATTGAGCAGCCAACTCAAGCTCATTCTGAGAATCCGATTTATGCATACTGTCGTTGACGCGTATGCCTAATACGGTCGCTCTGACGCACTTAATGCGATTCCGATTGCTTGACCCACGTCAAGTCGATGCAGCTTCTTGAATAAGAGTTTTATTCAGCCCAGGTTACAAAGTCTGTTGAAGGACTAATACTTGAATTTTCTCGCAATCATACAAGCAAGCCACACATTTCCATTGGAGTTCACTTATCCTCATAAGTGATTGACTCCGTTTTCGCTACTCACTCACATTCTCAGATGGACGAACCTTGTCTGGAGTCCTATGCCATAGCAACCATAATTATTTACAGCATTATATGACCGTGGACTTTGTGCATTCTCAGAACTTTTACCGACATGGTGACTGAACCTCGCCAATAGCAATACTTGTCCCTTTGACGAGTTGTATTTTGGTGCCAGGACTGGCAAGACTCACTCAAGCTGCCAGTGAAACGTCTGAAAATGTACCAAGTGCATGGTCCGAGGCTGGAAATCATCATGACTATTACGCCAGAGGACTGTGGGCAGGCGTGTATTTACTTTGGTCTGTCTGGCAAAAACGAGTTCATACCAGATATATACAACCATTTTGGCATTCACATCTTTTGACATTCACAGAGATTTGCTTCCCGATATTATGAAAATACCTTTTATTCAAGATCTGCTTGTAATTGCAAAACCTACTTGATACCGACTTAGAGATCTAGGCTCCACCGAGGCTACTCGTTCAAAATAACCGTTTCAACTGCTAAAGGCTACATTGCCAACCGGACACGGAGTCCTACATTTCCACCAACAAATCAATAAATTCGTCTAGCTTTTCCATAAATATACTGACGAAAAGCTATATATATATATATATGTATATAGACCTAAAGTAGTCTTCTGATTGGCTGGGCGATACGACGACCTTGAGAAATCCTTGAAACAACCTTGAGACGGAGAGACATTTTGCTTCGAGCGGGCATGAGGGAGATTTGAGTAGCTCTTTCTTGCTGCGCGCGAGCGTGTGATTTGGCCTTCCAGGTGGGCTAGAGTTGGCGGTCTGGCCATGAGCTGGACGGTAGGCGAGAGGGTAGATCTGTGGACCTATGTAGGTGGGGCGAGTAGAGTGTGGAGAGCTCCTGACGATGCTTGACTGGATGCGCGAGATGTCCGGCCATCCTGGAGGGGGCGTCAAGCGAGTATGCTGGTTGGACGTTAGAGGGCAGGACAGGCACAACGATTGGCTTGATATAGATACGAAGAAGAAATGGGGGTCGAGGAGTCCTCTAGTTCATAATTGTCGGTTCTATTTCTATTTAAAGTGAAAGAGGTGAAGAGATTCGAAGGTCTATCGCACCAGAAGACGAGGGCGGATTCATATTTACCAAATGTCGGTTGGCTTTGATGGAATATTCTTGTTGACGCTGCGTCCGAAGCAATCAGTTCTATACAGAAAGGATGATTGTTATGAAAGGAAAGCAAGGAAGACAGAGGAAAATCTCATGCGAACTAGCTCAGGACACATATATATATAAAAGTTACATTAGAGTACCAGAAATTTGATTAATCACTGCTGGTTTCGTACATATATAAACACATAAAAGTTAGGCATAAATATCTACAAATAAAAGTGCGAAAGCAGAATCCCATTTGAAATATTTTAAAGAAATTAATGAATATATATATAAATATATATTTCTACAATAGCTTTTTATCCAAAATACCTTACAGACCTTTGTAAATAAATATAAACATAAATTACCACAACACCAAGATCTTAGTGATATCTGTAAAAATATATAAATATATAATTCTACAATAGAATTTCATTCAAAAGACGAATTAGATATTTTTAAATATAAAAAAATATATATATACAAAAACTTTTCATCCCAAACGGCTTACATGTATTTGTGAATATATAGAAATATATATTTCTAGAATAGCATTTCATTTAAAAGTTATTAGAGATTTCGGAGAACATATATAAATAAATTTATCTACAATAGATATTCATAAAAAACACCTTAAAGAAATCTGGTAATATATAAAAAAATATATATCTACAATAGCTTATCATTCAAGAGACCTTACAGATATATGTGAATATATAAAAATATATATACACACAACAGCTTATCAATCAAAAGACCGAAGAGATATTTGTAAATATATATAAATATTTATATCTAAAAAAGCTTCTCATCCAAAACGCCTCATAAATGT